TTTGAAAACAGAATAGAAGTTACCCTTTTGTAAGGGACATTTACATTCCAAAAGGAAAGGAAATTTCTATGTGTAAGGGTGTCTCCCTCTGTCCCAGGAAGAGAAGAATGACTCCCAATTTCCAGAAACTCTTATCCTTGGAGAAGGCAACTTAAACCTGCAAATCAAACCTTACCCTGGTTACCGAGCTTTTCCTGGTCACCCCCAGAACTGGGATCCCCTCCAAAATGACTTTTGCTGGAGCTGGTATTTAAGGGCAGCTTGGGGCCAGTTCAGGTAGTTTTACTTACTTAGCTTTTCAGGGTATCGTCCATGTGTACAGGAGGTACACATGTGGCTGGAATACAACCCATATTTTAGGGCAAGATGAGAAATATTGAAACATAAAATTTTCCCTTGCCCGCCTGGGCCTCGCCCCTCCCCCTTGGTGTGTGCTGTGCATCAGCATTATCACCCAGATGCCTTAGGAGATAACCTTCCTTCTTAACTCTCATCAAAGGTCACAACTCCTTAGGAGCTAATCTTCCTTCTGAATCTTGTAAGGGGCCAGGATGAGTCCTGACCCACTACCTGTGTCTTTGTACATCTCGATCTGGATTGTGTAAAACACCAATAATACATCATTTGAAGTATAACCCTTTGTCTCAGAAACTTTATAACTGTGCTTTGACGTCTAATGGGCAGAATAGTCCTCAGAGCTTTCTGAAAGCTGCTCTCCCGGGTTATAATCCTCAGATTGGCTCAAATAAAATTTTCCCTTTCTTTCTCAATCCACTGTTTACTGATTTCTCCATCCACAGTGTTCCTAAACTTGTTTGTTTTTCTCCTGTTTCTGTATTTTATTACAGGGATGGGGTCCCAACCAGAAGGGCAGAGAGAGAACAATTCTTCCCCTACACTGTCCTGCGAAGTGACTGTGCCAGTGAAAAGTAAGAATGGTTATAAAGAGGCAGGCTCCCAGTGTCCCTGAAAGTGCCTTCAACAGAGCACCCTGCTTAGCCCCTGGGCTCCAAGTCCCTGGTGACCCTCCCCAGGAGCTTCAGGAGAGAATAGATCCCTGGGGACCTCAGGCTCTGCACACCAGAACTGCCTATCTGAGTCCCTAATCCATTCACCAGGTCAATAATGAGAGTCTGATTCTGAGTGTTTCACCCCAGGGGATCTCTGGGAAGGGAAGTATTTTGGACTTGCTGCTACTCCTAATACATAAGGAAAGAGATGTCAATCATATTATCCCTGATGGATTGGAACCCAATAGTAACACCCCTGAAATGAGGCAAGGGCCACCCCAGTTACAATAATGAAACTGCTTAAGTAGACGGTCTCTGTCTTGTTTAGAGGGGTCAATAGCACCTTGCTCACCAGGTGTTAATACTCATTGAGTAAAAGGTATATAGTTATATCCTGGTAATTGATGTTTTGTCTTAGAAAAAAATCCAAGATGAATTGCATACCTAATAGATCCAAAGTTTATAGATAAATGACAAGTTTTATATAATAAGACACTAAAAGTTCTTTGGATGAATAAAACATTATTTACACATTCAGTTAATAAAAAAGTATGAACTCCTAATATATGTAAAGAAGCCTGCTAGATATAGAATAATAGTGATGAAAAGCCAGCACCCCTGTGCCTAAGAAACTTACAATATATTTAGGGAGATGATAGTCACCAAATTCACATATGTAACTTCTACTCATTCCATTTAAAACAAAACAATAAGCATCTGCCTGTCTGTTCAACACCTGGCTAGGCACTGGGTAACACAGTCCTGCCCTCAACTTATGTACTGAATTTTTTCTTATTTAATAGCTAACTATAAATCTTGATGAGCACCATGAAGAAACCAGACAAGGTAGAAAACAAATCCCATTCATTTAGATTGGTGAGAGCAGATTTTCATGAAGATGTGAGGTTTCAGCTGAGACCTGAAGGTCCACACTTAAGGAGACAGTTGGTCTAGATATAGATATAGAGAACAGTGTGTCAAAAGTAAGACATACCTTCCAGAGAGATAATGTAAGCACCTAAAGTATTATAGTGATAAAGATTTTGAATGTTTTCTTTTCAATAGGTATCTGCTTCATGAATGCAATGAGCTGAGGCTAAAATGATTGATAAATACAGACACAAGTTGCTGCTCTCCTAGAACTTAAAATCGGGTAAGACAGACGGACACCGAGCATGCAATTACAGGTGTGGTGAGGAACACATAATAGGGTAATATGGGCATTTGTAGCAAATGCAGCAAGTGGATTTTACCAAGCCTAGAAGGACTGGGGAGGTCCTTTCTCGGGATCTGAGGTCTATACCAGGTTGTGAAAGGGAAGTAGGCATTTTCTGGGTGAAGGGTTGAAGGTTGAAGAGATTGTCCAAGAAGAAACAGCCCAGCTCTACTGGTATGGGTTTTCCGGTGTATTTGTCAAAGTGGCCAATATCTGTTAATTTACAGGAGTAAGGTTTAGATTTGATCGGTGTTAGAGAAGGAGATACTGAGACACGGAATATAAAACAAAAGCAAGAAGTTGCTAGTGATAGCCGGATAAACGAGTTGAAGTTCATTTGAGCCTTATGGGGCCCTCAGTTTTCACTGAAAACCTTTGCATAAGAATGAGTTAGCCTTTTTATTCTTGCCATCAGGTAACTATTTTATACTTAATCCCTCTCTGCCTCTGAAAGTGCACTGTTAACAATGAATTTTTATTTTTTCCCAAAATTGCTGTCAAGAGGGCATTTGGGGTTCCTCTCCTTTGGGTGCACACTTTGTTTTTCACTCAGAGCTGATATTTCCTTGGGAAGAACAATGAAGCTGGTTTTACAAGAACTACAGTATGTCACAAAAACAACTCCACCTTTCCCCCCAAAGACGTCTACAGTAATTCTGATCTAAAAACTTTTCTGATTTTCTGTCCACAACATGGGGCATGAGAGTAAGGAAAAGGTCACAAAAGGCAAAGGCATTTCTTCACTTAAAAGCACAATTTGTGGGAAAGAAAGACTAAAAATATTTGTTTTTCCAAAAGCTTTACCAAATGTTGAGAAGTCCATATGATTATTAATCATGTTTTTACCACTATGACACTGGATTGGACTATCAAAATACCTTAGCTGTACAATTTCAGAAATTACTGTATCTTTTTGACATGTAAATGGTTCCATGGTCTATGGCACATACAATTATATATGGAAGCTGTATAATATTAGCACAGCTAAATGCAGTTGATGGAAGTATTGTATAGAAATCTTGAGCCTAGGTCTCCTTCTCTTTGAAACCATCCTATCGTCCCTGGAAGACCTGGTTACTTTCTATATTGGGCCCTTCAATATACAACACTTAAAATTGATCATAATTACTGTTCACATGCCTGACCCCTTCTCTAAACTGAGTGACTCAAAGACAGGGAATGTTTATTTTTTATCTTTCTAACCACAGGACTTTAGATGTTCAAAAATACACTTATGCAGGAATAAATAAGAGTCACATTATAATGACGTACTATTGTGGTCATCAAAGGTTGGACCTTTGTCTTAATAACATGCATACAACTTTAAAAGCAATGTTCATTTAGAAAGATGCCCCCCGCCCCCAGAACGAAGCCAACACCCAAATACCCCCTTGGCCACTTTGACACCTAGTTCTTGTAAATGTTTCCCTTCCTTCCATGTGCTCACTCTCATAATCCACTAAGTCTAAGAAACACAGCCATGTTTGAACATCTGGGATTCATCAGGCTGGTTCTGTTAATCAAAGTTAGGAAATCAGCTCCAGATGTTGCCTAACTAAAGTTACATAAGCATTGTTCACATTTTTAAGTACAATCAGACCTAAATTCCCATATCTTGAAAGTAACTTAATTTATATAGGTAGGAGTTAGACCCTGCTCTATTTTTTTTTTTAATTAACTCTCAAGTACAGAGATAAGGCTGATAGATCTGCTCTAGAAGTGACTGAGAAGGAAAATTCAAGATGTATTTTCGGAAATCATACATTTAATCACATTAGGCCAAAGATGCTAAGAGAAAGGAAAAAAAAATACTGACCAAGTGTCCACTATGTGCTCATATAGGGGAGGAAAAAGAAGTTTTCTTCTACCCTTCCCGGGTCTTGGCTGAGACCCCTCCTGTAATAAAAGACAGATTAATGAGGAAAAAAACAGAAGTTAAGTTAATAATGTGTATACCTGGGAAACACCCAGGAAATCTGAGTAACTCCCCAAAATGGTTACAGCCACCACCTTAAATACCATCTCTAACTAAAGACAAAAGAAGATGGGGGTCGAGCAAGGAAGCCAGTTATGTGGCAAAACTCAGTAAAGAAGAGTATGGTAATTATGTGACTTTAAATTGTTACCATTGCCATTAATTAAAAAATTTCTAAAGATTTAGTCATTTTTCTCTTCCTGGTACAGAGGAGGAGAACTCTCTTATAAAAGGAGATTTCCTTTAGAAATGTGGCTGTCTCTTACAAAAGGGTAGCTTCTACTGGTTTTCAGAGCTTGTCTGTGCCTGCCTTTTCTTAAAAATAACCAGCTCAAGATAATCTATGTGCCAGGGAGGCACACTTTGGAGTGGCATATTCTGTTAACCTCTAGTCCTGCTGTTGAAAATGTCTGCAAGAAGTTTTCATCATACAGAAGCTGAGTTGAAGGAATGCTCCATTATCTCATTGAAGCAGCCTTGAAATAGATCAGTTCAGTTAAACAAGAGTGTCTCATTTCAGGAGGCAGACTTGCAGGTGAGCTCCCAAAGTTAGACCTATATCCTGCAAGCAATTACGTATTTAATAAAGATAGCCTGAGCTTTCTGCACCTGGTAAGTACATTTTGTCCTTTTAGCAGATGAAACAAAATTAAGTTTTAGTTTTATATAAGTACAATATTGATATTAAAGCTTATTTTAAAAATCCTTATAATAATCTTAGCTAGCTTAACCATACAAGGTATGATTCTCTCTTCCCAAATTTTCCTACCCTTTTCTACTGTTCTTCATTCTTGTCTTTTCCATTCTGAAATAGCCAGTTGTTCTTCAGGACAAAATTACTTTCATTTCCCTTAACAAAAATGCATCTCCATATCTATCTCACACTCTGTCACCCAAAAACAGACCCCACTCTCCTTGTATACAGAGATGGAAGAGTTTCTCTTACTACTGTTAGTAGTTTTACTTACATATATTTATTAGAATTCTTAACCCCTAGAAACCTTAATTTCTAGTGAAAACTCAGAAGTAAGCAACTGTGAACGGTCTGTTACAACAGCATTTAGATTGGTAAGTCTATGAATACATTTCAATTTCTAGAAGCATATGCCTTTTTTTAAGTATAATTTTTCAGTATGGTGTGAGACATGTTTATTAATAGACCTAAGTAACTTTGGTTTATCTACTTTTTTTTTTTTACTATTACAGAGAAATGCTCAAAATTTTATGTTATTTAGAAATGATCTAGATATTCAATAAATATATATCATGCAATTCAGGAAAACTTTAAGGGTTCAAAAGTTGCATGTCTATATTAATTAAACCAACAAACTTTAACTCGCTTTAATTTACCAAAGATTATGGTACTTAAAAAACATTAGTTTCTCTATTTCTGTGAGTTTTGGAATACTCAATCCATCCAGCGTTTTCCTTCAAGCCAACCAAATAGTTTTTACAAATTAAATTTGACAATACCATGTAGGTAGATATAGAAAAATAACATATGTAATTACATAGGCAGATACAAACAGAAATAGTATAGCTTTCATTCTCAAATTTTAGCCATTGAGTCAGGTACAATACAAAGCTCACTAGTTTATAAAAAAAAAAAGAAAAGAAAGTTGGGTCCAAATTAGGTTTCCGGCAGATGGAATAAGTTTACCTGCTTAGATGACAAAGGCTTTTTTTTTTAAACTAATATTTGTGAAGACGTAAGATTTTTTTATTTGCCCAATTTCTAAATAGCTCCTTTTTTCCCCTCTTGATGAGAATGAGTTCCCTAAGTTTGCATTTCAAAGGCACAGAGAAAGTATACAAGTTTTCTTCAAGGTGAAATTTTTGGAGTGTCTACCAGTTACTAGAGGACTAGTGTAATTACAGTTTTCCTGCTTTTCCTCAAGTACAGGACAATTCTGTTTCCAGTGTCCTAATATTTTACAGTATCTGCAAGCATTTTGAGATCAATAGGGAAAATGTGGGGGATTGTTAAGGACAGGTGGACTTTGAATTGCTTCTAGAGATGCATCTCTGGTTTTGTAAAGATTTTTAAGACTGACAATTGCTTCTAAGTCCTCAAGGAATTGGATTGTGGCCTGAATTATATAAACAAAGATGGAAACCAAGACTCCTGTGTTCAGGAGCTTCCTTTGTGAAGGCTGGGTAAATGCTTACCTTTCTTCCTGAGTATACAATTCAACCTCAACCAATTCACCTTAGGATGAAAAAGCTCTACTACCGCTCTTATAAAGCTCAACATCAACCTCCAGCTGAGCCATTTCCTGCTCACTGGTAAGAGGGCCTGGGAGAAATTCTGTTCCTCTGTTACCTTGGTGAGGGGAGTTTTCCCCAGGCAGCCATCTGGCTTTTCTGTGAAAGAACATACCTTAGCAGCCAGTTAAGTTCCATGTAGGTGGAAATGTGAAAGTTCATGGATCTTTCCAATTTTTCTGTGCCTTTGGTAGGATCTTTTGAAGCTGGAAGTTTAAAAAAAAAAAAAATAGGGGTTTCCTTAACAAAATAAAATCCCCAAGGTTAGATGCCATATTCCTTTGTGTCTTCTTTGCAGTGTTAAGACAGTTGTTTAAAAATGTTTTCCAATATAAAAGTTTTTCCAGTTCAAAAGATTCATCATCTGGCCAATGACAAGTAGGATCTTCAATGTTATATGTATCTCAATAGTGATGCAAACCAATAAGCTCTTAATGGCTTAACAAAGGACCAAAAAAAAAGGAATTGCAGAAGGTGCAGCCCCCATGAACCAAAATGTTCACTCCCAGATTTAGCCTAAGAAAGCAAAGACATTCATTGGTAAGGTGTTAAGAATGGTGTTAGTCAAAACAGACAATACAGGTTGAAATGACAAAGGCCCTTTAAGGACCAGGAGCCTGTAAGACAAATTCCCTGT